GAATTTGGTAACGTATTTGAGTACCCAGTCTGAGGTCTCTTCACCACACTCCGTCTGAAATTGAAGCAATTGGAAAAGATTTGTGGACAAACATCGCCGATGACATACGCCACACATAAAATCGGGTCTATGACTTTTTCTAAACATCTTGAAATGTAAATGTAGAGGAACACAACTACACATTGGCAGTATGCTCAAACATCGCCGGTGACATACATCAGACGAATATGTGGACCAAATCTTACCTGGATGGGGGCAATAGCGCAGGTTAGAAGTGCGTTGGCGGACAAGCAAGCTTGAGTTGGAGCTCCTCGTGAGAATGTTGTTACGCACTCTTTGACAGTATCCTCAGCTACCACCTTCCGCAGACATTGTCGGACCTAAAAGCACAGTTCAGCCAGATGACAGAAAATCTATACCATTGTTTTTTCGGTTAGGTTCTGTTGCTGAAATGAGTCAGAAATATCAGTGAGTTTCACTGCTAAGTGTCCCGATCAAACCGACAAACATTGCCGGTGACATACACAATCACAATATGTATAATCTATTGCACAAACCCCTTTTCGCGCGTCTGTACTATTTCACTTCCCCCAGATGATTCACTAAAATCCGGATGTGTCGCTGTTAATAGCGGACTAAGTGGGTAGTGAACCGAAACCGGCGCTCGACCCACTTTCACGGGTACTGTTTGACCAGTAGTTTGCGCCTAATTAGTTCCGAAAAAGGTGACTTGTTAAGAGTAGCCAGCTTTTCAGTGGAATTGTACTGCGGAGCTCGTGTTCATACTTGGAATGAGCGACTGGAAAAGATTCATATAGGAAAGGCCCTAACACCACAAATGTATACAAAATAAGCCCTGATTAAAGATATTACAGCTCTGGCTTAACCAAGAGATTTGGAAACTTGCTATTGGAGGAAACAATAGAAACATTACAGGAATGAGTTAAAATGAGATTTAGAAGACCCTAAAGACCAAGCCCGGGTCTGCCCCTAGGGGACACCCTATCCAACCCCCAGTGGGCTCTTTCAGACTAGAGCGAGCCTAATCTAGCTAGCAATTCAAAAAAAAAACCCTAGCCCCATCCTCGTCTAGGAATCATCAGCGCTGGCTCACCGTGATCCTAACTCCTTCTTGTAATTTGCATCCCTTACTTGGTCTCTTCTCGAGCTGCGACACTATTCCAGAATGTCCACCACACGAGAATAGAAATCAGATAATTCGAATTAATGCCCGAAATCCACTGAATACAGTCAAATATAAAAGAGCAGAATCTCGGTAGGATCAGAAAAACGTAGGCACCGTACCTTTTTGTAACCTTTCACTGCCTTCCCCACAAGCGTAGGAAAACATAGCTGTCATGCCTTTTGCCCATAGTGGATGGCAAGTGACGTCAGCGACGCAGGTCTGAAAATGACGATGAAATCGATACAGCGATCAATAATCGTTAAGAAGATGTTTTATCGGCTTTCCCATCTTAACACATGTTTGGATTCTTTTGAACTTGCTTAGTCAATAAAGAGAGTGTGCTGAGCTCATTCCTAGTGGACCCCGTCCGTAAACCCCGCCCACCCACGGACTCCGCCCACTGACTCAAAGAGGAAAATGCCAAAACAGCAACTTTTTAGTCTTTCACATATCGGCACAGAAAGAGCGTGCACTGCGGGCAGTGAAGTCACACCAACTCACAGACTCCTCCCCTTAACAAACCACACCCATATGCCCTGTGTACTTGCCTACAAATTTTTATATTACCTATATATTTTTTTTTATTCTGCGAGTTTGAGGAAGCCCAAGAAATTCGACTTTCCCTGCCTTCTAACGGCTAGCAGGGTGTTTAGTTAAGGCAGAATTTACGACGAGAAGTTAGCACACTGGAAATAAGGGTAGAGAGGTCAGTGGAGCAGGGATGAAGAAGAAACCATTTGAAACGGCCCGAAACCCGAGAAATGGGACCCCTTCCTTGCCCGTTGATTTGCGCATTGATGCGACTCTCATCGCTGTGCCCTCTTCAACACTACGCTCTCTCTGCTATCTAATCACTCGCCACGTATAGACCTGCGGCGAGTGATTAGATAGTCGGTGGGCGTACCCCGCCAACCGCGCCAAGAGTGAGCCATGCTAGATCGCCGAGGTCAAATCTTTCGCTGCCAATTGCGCGTCAGCACCTCAGGAGGTCCGCCTGTCTCCCAACTATGCAATTTTCCTCTTCATTGACCTTTGCCCTTGTCGTGAATTCCTCCTTTAGGTCTGTTCAATCAATCGATAAACACTTCTTACAATTAATCTCGGTCGATGTATGGATTACCTGGAACTTCTTGAATTCCTCACAAGCTTCGTCGATTTGTCGTGGCATTTTGATCACAGACAGCGGATGCGGTTGGAATGCCGTAAGCGGCCGTACACACACTTCGAACCTAGAAATAAATCCGTTGTATTGATCAGAATGATTGTATCGATTAGAACAGAACCGGCGGTCCATAAAAGAGGAACAGGGTTGATCAATACACACTTTTTCTGTTGCACAGGCGTACAGCTGACTGGTGGCTGAGGAGGTGACGGTTGCGGTGGCGCCATTGGAGCTGCTATTGATGCCGACGAATCGACAGTTTCGTTGGATGGGTGTTCTCCCGCAGGGCCACGAGAGCTCGTCTCCATCGGAACAGCGGTGTTCAGCGCACGAGCCATTGGGGCCACAGCTGGTCGGCTGGAAGTGACAGGAGCATGATGAAAACTAGTTCAAATTATTGGTAGTAGTTTCCTTGCAGTTGCTGCTCACATTTATAAAAATCGATTATTGATTCGACTGATTTCTAACTGAATGTACTTAGCTTAAATTTGGCTCAGAACAAAATCAAAGAGCTTAAATTTGGCTCGGAGCAAAATCGAAGAGGCCCATTTTTTAGGTTTATTATGGCAGAAGATCTTTCGCATCGAAAAAAGCAAGCGATCAACTTTGCCAACAATTAAGCGTCGCGGCTATCGACCATGGTGATAGACGCAGATGGTGAGGATCACTCTGCGTCTATGACCGCAATAGATAATTGTTTGTTTCTTTTTATTTTGATTGTTTTTCACAAAACAATTTTCGACGGTGTGCTTTAACATTCCCTTTTCTTGTTCGGCACAAGAACAATTTCCTTAAAATGATGTCCTTTCACAGTTTCCGTTGGCAAACGGCCAGATAGCTCACATGTTCTTTTATTAATATGGGAATCGAAGGAAGAATTTCATTCTGATGCGTATTGATCACTTATAGTCGAATTTTATTACCTGGGTCGTGGTGGTGGAGTCGGTCGTTTTACAGGTCTGGCAATGATAGCGTCCAAGTTGGCCGGTTGTTCACGAGGACAACCCTCTTCTTCTCCCAATTCACTCATCTGTAATGGTGGTTATCGTCGGATATGCCTTTAAGTTCGACGTTTCCATGTGCAAATGAATCACATCCATCTACATAATCGACATGAAGGAGGTGTGGGTCAGGACATTTGGATTGCGCTGCGCACAGAAACTTGGTCACAGCGCGGACTGAATGTCCAGGCACGGCACTTCTATCCTGGTACTGTGGTGTTAATGTGTCAAGTAACTCTAGTGTCATTAGCATGCGACGATAGTGGAGCCTATTGCGACGTCGCGTGGCGTCGTAATGTCGCCGCAATCTTGATGTCCTGACCCACACCTACATGAGAGCAAACCGAAACGCTGAATATTGACG